AAGTAAAATATTGAAATTCAGTCATCTTTTGAATGTGGCTAAAAGTAAATTGCAAATTATATTTATGGTTCACCTTAGCTTTCTGGCAGACAGCAATGGCCATTGTAACCATCAGCTTTGAAGAGCCTGTAGTGTACAATACCCTATTCTGTAAGAGCAGTAAGCACCCTTCATTTTTATTTCTGGAATTTATTAAATCCAGCATTAACTCGTCATGAAATGTTGTCCCCTGAGAATGGTATGCAGCTCTGTGGAGGGGACACTTGGCCTTCTTTGTAAGGTCAGTGTGACGATCTAGCAATGGGTCTCACTTACAAGAGCACATTGTCTAAACCAGACATGGGCTTTCTACATGCTTTGTATTTGTAGCAGCAATTATGGTTTCCAGGGTCAGACACTTTCAGGCACTTAATAACCAGTTCGACTAAAGGTCTATGAGCTTCCTGGCCACTCATTAAATCTAAGACATCCCTTACCCTAAGGTCAATATTGCTTAGTTCAGCCACACTTTATGACTGAGTGAATGAAAGCTTTCCCCTTCATTGTCAGTAGTATTGATTGGCAGTTCTTTGGGTGGTCCTGGTCATTTTTATTTGCCTCCTTTGTTTTCAACTACCCAGGGAGTGACATCATCTTTCCTTCACAAAATGGAATTATTGCAATGTGAAAGCTGAGTACAAGGAGATCCACTGTTGGGCACTGGACCTCACCTCTTCATTATTATTGTAGAGTGACTCATAGGGGAAAGGAAATTCAGACAAGCAAGGAGACCCATGCCATAAACCCTACAAATCACCAGCCTGATAAACTACCATCTTTACCATGGGTCACAATGCTCCCATTAGACTCAATCAGAGGAGAAGGTATGACTAATTCTTCCCTTTACCACCAAAAATAAATCACAGCACTGAGCTGGAAGGAGACACAGACTTTTCCAGGATGAAGAGTTGAGTTGGAGGCTGAAAGTAGGAAACATTTTGAAATGGAGCCAGGCAGCCCTGAGCAAAGGATTGCCGAACAAGCTCCCAGACCACAACCCTCCATGAAAGCAGTTACAAGAAGTACCTGCTGGTTCTTGCATGCTCTGGTGGCATGTCCAACAACTTCCCAGACATTAAATATGCATTACTTTTGCCAATAAGTCACTCACTCATTAATCCATTTTAATAAGCCTCCGTCATTCAAAGACTTTTACAAATTGTTCATGTTCAGGGATCATTCCAGATCTTCTCAAAAGCCATATGCAGTAAAGCCTCAGTTTATGCACACTTCTGTTTGTAAACAATTCAGTTCTGAAACAGAAAGCATTCAATAAAACTTTACTTCTGTTCACAACCTCCACAACAGATAACAAGCACAGTTGTGGCCATCTTCCCCATACAAACACAAATTCTGCCATCCTCCCCCGAATCATAAAACAAATTAAGTTCATGTGCTGAGATATAACTGCATCTAAAATTCAGAGCATCTTATGTCCAAATATTTTGGTTGCATCTGAATCACTAAAGTTCAACTTCATGCCCAATGTAAGTAACGCTCAGAACATAAGAGAAGAAAAATTTTGAGCTTTGGGGCCAGAAGTATGGCAGATGGATATTGTGATATTTTGTTGTGAGTTCTGGATTTCTCATATGTAAACTGGGAGCACTAATATGTATTTTGTAGGATAAAATATATAAAGGATCTATTATAATACTAGGGATGAACAAACATTGTCATAGTGATTGGGGTTAGTCTATACCAGGATGAAATGCCTAATATTAGACAGAAGCAATATATTTATGTGCACACTGCAATGACTTTTACATGAAGCATCAAAATATTGGCTCTTTTTAAATTATAATTATTGTTATGCTTATGTACTGCTGACATTTTTGGAATGATGTATAATTTAGTATGAAGGATCCCATTTGGAAAATTCAATACTAGGATGATATATATTTAATTACAGCGGACCCTTGAGTTATGACTGGCCTGACATAGGAAAAACTTGGAACATAGGAACATAAGAACAACCAGAATTTTAGCTTTTACTTAGGAACAAAGTCTCGAGTTATGACCTGAATACTGTCAGTTTGTGTTTCCAGATGGTCTCAGACACAGATTTAATTCTGAAAGCGTTCTAGAAGGAACATTACAACATCCTTTCCTGTGAGGGGTTAAGAGAGAAATCCTGGGCCAGTGTCTGTCTAAGGACACTAACATCTGTCTGTATGTAGGAGAGAGACTTTGAAGGCTGTGTAGAGGAGTCTGAGCCTTCAACTGCCCAACTTGAGTTACAACCAGCCCTGGCGAGTGAATTGTGTTCAAGGGTCCACTGTCATATAAATCTTGGTGCCATCTTAATTCACGCTTCAACTTCACAAGACACAGCCCATTGCCCTGGGGCAGACATCTACCCTCCTGATGGGCTACAGAGATAAGAGGCAAGGGGTGCTTTCTGGTGTGAAAATCCCTGGGATCTTAGTCCTTGTTCTATCATAAGGTCTCAGGTAAGTTGCTCAATGTCTCTGTACTTCAGATTCCTCACATATAAAGCAGAATATAGCTCTGGAAAGGATACCCCCATGTTCAGAGCAGTGCTATTCATAGTAGCCTGAAGATGGAAGAAAGCCAAATATCCATTGACGAATGAATAAAATGTGGCTATACATATCTTGGAACACTATTCTGCCTTAAAAAGGAAAAAAATTCTGACACACACTCCAATTCTCACACATGACTCTGAGGGAAATAAACCAGTCATACAAGGTCAAGTGTTGAGCGACTCCACTAGTACAAGGCATTGGGAGTAATCAAATTCACAGACACAGAAAGCATGGTAGTGGGTGCCAGAGTCTGGTGGGAAGAAAGAATGAGAAGTTGTTAAATGGGTACAGAGTTTCAGTTCTGCAAATGGACAGTGGAGTTGGCTGTACAATGACGTGAGTGTATGGAAGGCCATTGAATTGTACCCTGCAAACAGTCAAGGAACTTTATGTTATCAGTACTTTATCATAACTTTTAAAGTTAAAGTAAAAAGTAGAAGAACAATATGAATTTCTTTATATTTTTCTGCTGCTGCTATTGAGTGAATTAAATGGGGCAATGCTTTACGTGGCTTACCACAGGGCTAAGTCATGGTATAAACTTCATACAAGCACTCTACCTCCGAATAAGGTAAGTGTTATAGTTAATTAATTAATGGCACCAAAAATTAGCAATTCTTTCAATTCACAACTGTTGGCTTGAGCTTTGGCAGCCAAACTTGGACAGATTTGGAGTTTCCCAAACATGGAGTGAAATTGTAGATAGGGACAAACTCAGGTGAATTCTTTAGTAAGGCAAGACCCTCAGTTTGAGCCAATGCCAGTGTATCTCATACAAGACAGAATAAAAAGAGCCAGCAGGGGGCAGGAGAGAGGAGGCACGGTGAGACTAGACATACCTGGGAAGGAAGCCAGAGAGAAGTCATGGACGGCGTCCCAGTGTGGTGAGAGGTTGCTGGGTGTGCCTCCAGCGCACCTAGAGTTCAATCCTCTGAACACAGCCCCTGATACTCAACTGGGCAGTAATTTTCCCTTACTATAATGCTTTTCTCCAGCCTTCACTCGATTGGCTGTGTCTTTCCCCCAAAGCTAACAAGCTTGGCAATCCTGCTCTTCTTAATAAAACACGGTACCACAAGCAAGAAGAATATTTCCTAAGCCACTGAGATGGCCCAGTAGCCATCAGACTTACAGGGTCTGTCACACATCAGGATCTGCCCAGGCCCAGCTGGGGCTACCTAAGGTCACACAGCAGCAGATTTCTCTCCTATAACTGAGTCAATTTGCTCTTTCAGCTCACTTGCACCATCCCTGAAAATCTGGCCACACTTCCTCCTACTGATCTAAAATATTCCAGTTTTAATTAGTTCCAGGCCAGGCGATGTGACTGCCCCATCTGCACAATGCATTTGTGCCAATTCAAAGTCTGAGGCTGATGAACAAATATAGCCAACTAAAGACCTGTTGAAGGAGGCAAATGGAGCCACACTGCTGCTGGAAAATTTGCCTGTGGTGCCTGCCAACACCAGGGCCCTGTCCAAGCTGTGCCTGAACCATGAGCCTGCTGTGAAAGGACTGCTGAGTTTCACATTCTGCCCTGCCTCTCCAGAAACCGAAGGGAGGTTAGTACGTGGAGCCCAAGCTCCTCACAATCTAGGGGATGTGCCCTGCAATCCATAACTTCATTGGTTCAGCAATGTTAGCTGAAGTCATAGCCAAATTCAGTAAGGGCCAGAGGGATAGAGAAAAAAGGTGATACAGATCAGGTTCCTTCCCAATAGTCGGGCTCATTTGCCCCTAAAATCACTGCAGATCCAAGCTTTAGGAGACCACGGCTCATATTTAGCTTCTTCTTTTGCATTGGATAGCCTCTGTGTGTGTGTGTGTGTGTGTGTGTGTGTGTGTGTGTGTGTATCCAGATGATCACTTAATAGTATTCCATTTGACTTCTTAATTAGAAAAAACCAAAACGTGGACTTTAGCAATGTATACAGGTATGCATATATTTTTCTATATATAATTTGAATTTAAGTTAATGCATTTGAATTTGGTGTACTCCTTTACATTGTACTTTAACACAATGTAGAAGTTTAAATTATAACTTCCCACATAATTTCCCTGAAATTTCTCATACCAGCCATTGCATTTGGTAGAATTCAGTTCAGGTTGTACTGGACACAGGGCAGGAGCTACATTTCCCCTTGGCAGGCATTCTTTAAGACACACTTTTAATTCATTAATCCCCTCATTTGGCACATGCAGAGTCTTTACTGTGTACTGGGCTGGGCAGATCCACTATTTAGCAGTGAATGATAAAAACACACAAAGCACTCTGCTTCATGAAGTTTCTATTTTCATGATATTACTTACCTCCCACTATTTTGTTTAAAAAAAATAGGAAAATAAATGTATCCCAAATACTTATAATTTTCAGATGAGTATTCCTGTCATACAGTCATGATTTCTCTTAGCTTTTGAGTCAAATTGATAAACTCTGTGAATGACCTTCACTTTTGTGGTTTCCGCAACGCCATTCTTAAGTCCCGGGGACACAGCATTAGCACCACGTCCATGCCCTCCGACGACCAAGTGGCCAAGTCCACAGAGATTCTTTGGCGCTCATAACAGTTGGATCGCACTTCTCGTTTGGGAAGTAGACACTTTCCCAGTGTGGCATCTGGTTGAGATAGTAGGAAAGAGTACAGCCATTTTCACTGAACTGAATAAAAAAGCAGTCACAAGATAGCTTTGTTGCAATTCCCTTTTGGAAGAAAAACAAAACAAAAGCTCCCTGAGCTCCAGTGACACTGGGAAGACAGCGTCAAAGCCTCCGTCAAGTTGCTGGTGCTCTTGTTCTCTCACGGTCTCTTCAGCAACCTGCTGAATTGCTCTAGAACACTGCGCAAGCCCTTGTTTTAGGAATAAAGTGCCAGGATACTTCACTAAGGTGTCTCCCAGAAGCCCTCTTCCCCACACCGTGTCCAGAGATTCATCTTCGATGTTGACCCAAATCCCTCCCCGTAGCACTCCCCGAATAGCTTCTACCAACCTCTGCATTCCTGGTTGCTGAAGCACAATCTCCTCACAAGGCTGAATGTGTTTATCAGAAAATCAGGTGGGAGGACAGAAATATTTTGTTGAGATTAACCTGCCCTGAGGAAGTAAGGTGAGCAAAATGAGAACTGGAACAAGGTTGAGACTGGCCTTCACCTCTTCTGAATAAGCCAGACTTACCTCTGACCTGTGGTGTTGACCAGGCCTGTCAGTTAAAGCTAAACACATTTCACAGTGGCGACCAGCCAAAAACATAAATTCTGCCCAAAACTAAACACTGCAGAAGGTCTGTCTAGTTTCAAAATATCTATGCCAGCTCCACAGTACACAGGGTGCCGTGGGTGTGATTTTGTATAACACTGGCAGAGCCACTCCGCAGGAGGAGGAGGATCAGCTCTTAAAGCCACCAAATCCCTGCACTGGGGAAGGGCCTTGGGACTTTTATGTATCTCCTATGCAATGATAAAAGCTAGCTGTAGAGGAGCTAGCTGTAGCTCATAAAAAGGTGTGTTTGCTTTGGTAGTGTGCTCTCGGGATAGCTTCCAGAAGTTTCCAGGGAGCCTTCAGAGCAGCGATGAAGAAAGCCTTGGGGCAAAGCGCGGGGAATCTGTGGGCCACTGCTTGAAGACATTCATTATACCTGAAGGAAGAGTATATAGTTCTGAGAAGGTGTAGCTTAAGGACATATGACAATTGTTTCACTGTCTATCGAAAAGTTAGATGAGACCTAGGAATATCTCCTTCTGGCATCAAACTTGTGTGCTCCACATCCCAGAGTTGGCAGGGCATGGTGACATTTGGGAATGATGTGGGCCTACCCAAAGACTTGGGAATGTGAGAAACTGTAAATAAAAAGGCATACGTTATCCAAGAATAAATACATGTGCATATTTTACTGCCTTTGTTTAACAAATAGTTTTAAGAGATTTCTATGTTGTGGATCCTGAGAATAAAACAATGAACTGTGCTCTTTAAGCACTTAAAATTTCACAGGCAAGAAGGCTCCCTTTCTGAATTACCGGCCTTGGTTGCTAATTCTACCCCAGAAAAGGAGACTTCCCTGCTACCATGGCTTCCATTCCTAGTTGAACTCAAATGTCCTGGGAAGTCTTTTTTTGTTTTTTTTGTTTTGTTTTGTTTTTTTCACCACTCTAAAAAGATCCTTCTGAGTGCCAGTGTTTTTCAAGATGATCCAATTTCTGGAAACCATAATTTTCACTTGCTAAACAATATCTCAGGCCACTTGCCTGCTGCACACATGGTTTTCTTCAACTTCTTTCCAAGATATTCATGACACTCAGGTCTTAGCATGGTGTGGAGGTGAAATTACACGTTATGACAGCTAAATTCAATGTACAAGGTGCTAAAGTTATCTGTATAAGAGGAGTCTGGATAAAATAAATGGGACATATTGTTAGGGCCACATATTCTTTGGAAACATGATTTCCCATAGCTATGTGCCTGCTAATTCAGACAAAGCATCTTTTGTGGAGGGGGTTTGAGACAGGGTCTCACTATGTAGTCGAGACTGAACTGGAACTCTCTATGTATCCCAGGCTGGTCTCAAACTCACAGCAATCCTCCTGCCTCAGCCTCCTGAGTGCCAGAAAAAGCATTTCTATCTAGCTCTTTGATAATTTCCTTCACTAGAGCGAGCTGTTCAATATGGTAGCCACCAGTCACCTAGGGTTATTTAAATTTAAATTACTTAAAGTTAAATGAAGATACAAATATAGTCTGGCCTTATTTAAAGTTCTTGCCAGTTATTTGTGGCTTTTGACATGTGAATGTCAATTTTTGTGATATTATATGTGTAAATTTGCCCTTATTATGTTTGTACATGTGATTAATACTTTGATAAGATAGAATGTGAATGAAAACATTTCTTCCAGGACTTTGGACACATTGCTCTATTCTCATCAAGCTTACAGTGCTGCTTGGAGAAATAGGTAGATATTCTCATGATCATCCTGTATATATGACTCCCCCTGCCCCACATTTAGAAATGTTTAAGATTCGAAAGAAATCGTTATTGTTCTATAATTTTATGAACACATGTCTTGAAACACATTTTCTTTCCTTACCCTGAACGTCAAACAGACCCTTCAATCTGGATGTAATGCTCTTCAGTTCTAGAATTTATTCTGTACTATTTCTTTTGATAATTCCATCCTTATCATTTTCTTTAAAGAACCCTTAAGTGAGTATCAATGTGTCTTTCTTCCTTGATGCATTTAAAATACTAAATTAAATAAGCCTAAGGCTCTCTATACTTTGAGTTCCTGGTTTAAAGCACGAAAGTTAATTTAGTACACAAATAAGTCAACCTAACTTAGGCTTTAGAGATGTCTACAACTCATAATGGCTCAATTTAGATGCTTTGACTTTACAGTGGGACAGAAAGGATACTCCCTCATTACAAAACATACTTCAGCTTTTGAATTTTGATCTTCTCCCCATCTAGGAATATGCTGTAAGATCCTTTCTCATGACTTCTCCACAATGAACAGTGCTGCTAGGCTATGATGCATTTTCAACTGATGATATTTTTCACTGGGTTAATCAGGACATTAACTCTTTGAATTTGAGGAGCATCTATTTTCATAAAAGAAAACCCAACTTGGCTAATCATAAGCAGTCAAGTTTCAACCTAATCCAAGCTGGCAAAAGATTAGATCCTACCCAAATAAGGAAAATGCCTATATGTAATGCGTTAAGATATGTCTGGGCTTCGGTGGTGTTTGCTGTCTCTAATGCCTCACTGCCTTTGTGATCTAGCAGGCTGTCCGAGCCCCTTCTGACTCTACCAGCTGCCTCATTCATGACTGGTTATTTGAGCAAATAAACTCTGAAATACTTGATTTGTCTAAAGCATATACAGATAGACAAATTAAATATATATCTTTATATATATATGAATGATAGTCCTCATATCAGTTTGTCTAGAGTGTATTCTGGCCTCCTGGCATCCTACGAGCAGGGCAAAGAGCAGGATTGGAGTCATCTTGTCAACTTCCACCCCCTGCTTTATCCTGGAGCCCTCCACATCCTTACCTTTCTCTATCCTCTTCTGCCCTGCTGAGCTCCTCACACAAGTTCCTGACACTCTGGGTCCAGAGCTTTCCTAGGTACACATCTCCAAAGAGGAAGTATTGTATATTATAGAGGTAGGAAGAGAAGCAACCACCTGGTTCCAAAGGCCATGAAGGGAAATGGAAATTCTTACTGCCTCACTCATTTTACAAATGAACACAAATTCAAAAACTTTAAATAAAATATCAAAACATCAAGTCCAGCAGAATACGGAAAAATAACTTATGGGAAGCCATGATTTATTCCATGAATTCATATATTTGAAAGATATTTATCTCTAATGATATATTTGAATATGATTCCAAATGAAAGTAAACATTTGAACCCATTTACATCTGTTTCTCTTTTCGAAAATCACATTTTAAAATGCAAACAGAACATTATTTTGACATTACTTTTTTAAAAGTATGATATAAGTGAACGACAAACACAGATCCTATGCAAAATTGAGTTTGGAAAATACTATCTATAGTTCATTAAATAATAGGTCAAACTATCTGAAAAGGAAGATTTTATAATGGCTGAGCTTCTCAGAGGCTTTTATATGCTAATGTGCAAATGCCTTGCCAAGAGGTTAGGCAGACAGAGTTTCATCATCAGTCTTCTTCCCCTTCCCAGTAGCATGCTTGGAGTCTCATCTTTCTCATCACATGCATGTCCATTATCAATACTACGCTATAAATTACCTTTGTTTTGGAAGATCCACCCAATGCAATATACCACAAATGGTCTGAGGTTACACATACTGTAAAAACAGGTGATAATTTATCAACTGTTACAAGTGTCTTACTTACCCTTCAGTAGAACTAAGAATTTCATACAGTAGAAAAACAATCTCTTTTCCTAATAGCAAAAAGAAAGAGAAAGAAAGAAAGAAAGAAAGAAAGAAAGAAAGAAAGAAAGAAAGAAAGAAAGAGAAAGAAAGAAAGAAAGAAAGAAAGAAAGAAAAAGATGCTTGACATAACTTCTGCAAGAACTTGAAGCAAAAACAGAGATACATATAACTTTGTCAAGAGTCCTAGAAGACGGAAAAAATGACTTAATTGTTGGTTACTAGATAGGAGTGGCAAATGTATTCGTTGTCTCGAATTCAATCTATGTTACTATCATGAGAGTCACCATTATTTTTAATGAGAGTGAGAATGGAAGGGGAAAGGTTTGATAACATTGCTCTACAACACAACTCCAAGAATAAAAGCTGGAGAAAAGGGCCGGGGATTTAGCTCAAAGGACCCGAGTTCAATCCCCGGTACCAAAAGTATAAATAAATACATGAACTTAGAACTGGAGAAAGTCCACTCACAGAAGAAAAGCATGAAAAGGGCAAAGAAAACAGATTTACAAGTCAGATATAAGAGTTTGTAAAGCTGCTTAAAGTGGGAACAGTTCACTAATGAAATAGAATTAGCAATTACAACTAATAACTAACAAAGGAACATCCAAGGAGCAAAGTTAAATTGAATTTATAGACTAGAATCAGGCTTTTTCAATGCATGCGCTTATAAATATTTTTTTCATACACAATAAACCTATTCTGCTAATTTAGCAAAAAGGGAAGATCGGTTCATACATTCTGCTGAGGAAACCCATTTACTCTTGAAAAGAATCAAGATATTCTTGATTCTGCAGCACCCAAACTAATATCCACTGGGTAGACTGGACAGTTAGGACTAAAAAGTGAAGCTGAATGAAAAGTGGAAGAAAATGGAGGTGAAGGTGAATCTCCTTGTGAAGGGAGGAGGCACTGCTAACCATCACACCAAAGAAGAGGACTCGTGAAGGTTGGGCTTGAGGATCTACAGGGAATCTTCCATATCCCAATAAACTTCATAAGATTAAAGGGTTGAAAAGACTGAAAGGTGGTAATCAATTAAATGACACAAAAGTAAGTATAAATATGACTGAACTTGTGACTAAGTAACAAAAGTGGAAATACAAACAGTACATACAACAACAAAAGCCAGGCTCGGTAATTATCAAAGAAGTACAAAAATTTTTAAATGCTGTTTTCAGTAACAGATTAGATTTTAAAATACTTAATTAATGGTGAATGGAAAATACATAACAAACATCCCCGGTGACAGAGTACACTGGTATGGCTTTGCTAGAAAGGGATTTAGTAACATGTACAGCAAGAGTTTTCAGAAGTTTGTAATTTTTGACCTGACACTTTTTCACCATAAGACAGTCAAAAATAGAGACTAAGGATTACGCTTAAAAATGTTCATCATAATTCTTATTTATTAGTAAAGATTTATCAACATTTTATATGAATAAAACAGCAGAAGAAAAGTATGCTAAAGACGAAGAATAATCACATATTCTGAACAGGCTCCAACAATGAATGTAATACTGACTTTAAGATTCACATTTTAAAATAGGGAAGGGTGGAGGGGGTGAAGAGCGGGCGGGGGTATGGGGAAAAAATGAGAACCAAGATCTGTCATGTAAAGGTACAAGATCCCAATGATGAATGTAACTGTACTGTATACTTAAAACGTGCCAATAAACTCAATGAGAAAAAAAAAAGATTCACATTTTAAAAGA